TAGAAACCAAATTCTGGACTATGTAACTCTCTGGCCCGACCAACTTTTCGGTCACTTCTGTCGCCGGGTTTCGGCATCCACGGTCGCCTCCTCTTGGTTTTCCCCCTTAAATTTCCCAGTAGCAAGTGCATTAATTTTAAGCGCACATTGCTGTGCATAAATGCGAGGCGTGTCGGGTTATTAACAATGTTAAAAGCAAACGCGCCAGCGGCCAGGACACTCTCCGGCAAAAGCCAAAGGACACTTCTGAGTGTGTGTGTGTGTGTGTGTGTGTGTGTAAGTGAGGACAACTGACGCTGCCATTACCGCAAACTTAATGCGGAATAATTCCTTCCGTGTTGACAGTGTGCAAAAACTTTTCGGGGCGCAAATTTTCGTGAAGCTCTCCGGCATGGAAAGGGGAAAAAGCCCGTCGAAGGACCCAGAACGACCCAAAAGGATTCAGAAGCCAATGTCAGAGAGAGAGAGAGGGAAGCACGAAGGAGGCCTCTCGGCTGGCTGCTTGCTGGCGATTTTTATTGTTGTGGCGGACAATGAATAAGCCGCAAAACTTTAGAGCACTTGGCATATCCTATTCCTGTCCCGCTCAGCTCCCGCTCCCGGCCACCCATTCGGTGACCTCTGAACCCTCCCATCCCCCCTGCTCAGCGGGCGGGCCTGGTAATTGTGTTTTTAATTGAAGACTGCCAGCGAAGCGAGCGGAGCTGTCTCTAAATTAAAAATTTAATTACATTTAACATGATGATTTTCCTGTTTATATTTCCCCCCTTTTTCGTTATGTATTTTGTGAATATATATTTTTTTTAATTCTGTGAATAAGGTGTAGTGCACTGGGAAAAAAGTTCACCAGGAGAAGCGTGGAAATATAAATAAAGATTAAATCCGGAGTATGCTTTGTGGCATACAAAACATTCTTGAATGAATTGCTTCAATTAGTGCATATCATATTAAATCTTATTTATTAAATATTTGGATCGTGACCATGTTTTTAAGATCTTTTGAGACTCACAGTGTTGATGCAAGGTGCAAGGGAGTCTGAGGTAGAGGCGTGGCTGTGTTACCTTGCCATGCTGAATGACTTTTGAAGTTTTGTCGACGCGACTCGGCGGCGGTGACTTCCTCTGCCCACTGCCTTAATATGCATACATTTACATTCCAATAACGCTCAAGTGGACGCCACGAGTGCACTTTGCTCGGCCACGCCCCCCGGCGCCCACGAGTGCCTCGCATGTCAGCGGCAGCGGCAGCGTCATCAGTGCCAGCTGCCTTTCAAGAGCCCCCCGATGCTTTATGCGCCACGCCCACTCCACCTATGATACGCCCCCCTACTCACACACACACACACACACACATACACAGACACAGAGGGAGACACTTGTCCGGGGGACACACGTGTGGCATATGCATATGCATAATGGCCGACAACTTGGCACGGGCGGAACTTTTCTCATTAAGCGTGTTTAGCTGTTTGAAATGATTTAGCAAAAGTAAAACAAGTCAAGTTATAATGTTTTAATCTCAATTAAGGCACTTGCCACAAATTTCCATCTCTGTCCACCCTTCAGTCGGGATCTGCCTCTTCATTTGGCCCGGTGGTTGAGTTGCCTTGGCATAACTTAAAAATTCCATTTCCATTTGCGGCCTGGCCTTTGACGTTTGCCTTCGTTAGTGCCGGCAACTATCAATTTAAGTTGGAAAACACAGCTGCTGGCTGATGGCGCCTCATTTCGATTTGTTAGCGCCACGAACAGTGGGAGAGAAAGTGAATTTATAACCCAGAAAAGCTCAAGATTTGTTTTTGAGGATAATAAGAATTTCAATATCTTTAAAACCATGTCTATAAATTTTTTTCTAACTAGAAAGCATCTATATAATTTCTTTAACTAAAAATTAGCTTTCCTAAGTTCATATTTATACTCTTGAAGAGTATTATAAATTTAGTCAGAAACTTGAATAGAGGAGAAGGAATCATTTCCAACCCGATCAGCATTAACAGGCGAATCTTTTAAGCCATGTCCGAAAAAATTTAATTTTTTTTAAATTTTCAAAATTTTATAAGGGGTTATTACATCGTTAAAATTATCAAAAATCGACAAAAATTTTAATTTTCTTAAATTTTGAATTAAGTATGCAGATTTAATGTCCTAATAAAAACAAGCATAGGAACGGTTTCCCAATTCAAATTAAAGCTAATTTCACTTAGTTATGCGTTTCCAATTTGTCGATAAAATTGTCATTTAAAAATATCAATTACTATTTAATATTTATCAAGTACAATTAATATATAAAACACTATCAAACTAACTAATCTAAATAGATTGTGAAGTATTTCTGCCTCCGGTTCCTCCTTAACTACTATCATACTTGAAAACAGATTTTCTTCAGTTAAATGTCAGAAATTTCAATGTACCTCGGAGCGTAAAGTACGTATTTTTTACCCCCAGGTTTGGCACATTTGCACTTTTCAAAAGCCACCTTTTAACATGGCTCTGTTGGGGGAGAAGGGAAGCTAAAACTATGGGCAACCTTCAGACTTAATTGCACAGCCCTCGCTGGCTAAAATAATTTGCATTATGCAATCGCCCAAAGCCAAAGCCAGCTCCAGCTCCAGCTTCAGCTTCCGGCCAACCCTCGGATTTGCCAACTCCGATTCTCCGATCCAGCTTTTCTTACGCTTTTCACCTTTTGCGGTTCACAGCTGATTGCGTCTCAAGCAGCTCGAGGCCGGGAGTGGAGTGGAAGTGGAAAAATTTGCTCAAAATTTATAATGAGTTTCCACTGCTGGCGCTGCACATAAGTAGGCTAAAAAAATTTGCACATTAACCTCAATGCCATTGGTTGTGTTTTTTGAATAGTTTCCAATTCGCTGGCGATGTAAGGCCAAATAAAATCGAAAAGAAAATACAAAAAAAGGGAAAAACGAGGAAATAATTAACACGCATAGCTTGACGCCCGTTGGCCAAAGCCACGCCCACTGCGCCCACAGCCAAGGACTACTGGTGCTGCAATCGAAATATTTAATTAGTGCAAAAATGCCTTTGAATGCTAATTAGTGGCAAATTAACATTTGAGCAGGGTTCCTTATTTCAGTTGTATTTTATCTTGTTTTATTTCGTTTTATTCGCTTATTCCCCTCACTCTTTTGTTTCGAGTGCAAATTAAAGACACAATCAAAGCAAATTAATCAAGTCCAGCAGCAGTTGCTACTGCCCGCGCTGATTGATGTGGCGAGCCAGTTCGCCATTATCGATGGAAGGACCCCGGATAGATAGAATGGGAGCAGGGCGACGATAGGAAACGGAAGCCGGCGCAAATTATTTCTATGAAGCTGCCACCCCTCCTCGGTTGCTTTGTTTCGCTTACATAAAACAAACATTACTCCATCATTCGCCCTTGCTTTATGCCATTATTTATGATTATTTAACGTTCCCCTTTTTGGCGCATTTGAAAAATGTGGCCCGAAGTGTTTGTAAATGAGTTTGCAGTTTTATGTGCGGACGAATGAGTTTTCAATTTATATTTCGTCCACAGACAAATTTTTCATGGCAAATTCAATTTTATTTATTTATGATTATACGACAATCGATTCGTTATCGCCCTCCGCGAACGCTTTTTGTATTTTACTGTTCGGTTCGGAGATTTTACTCGCCACCAGTAGGATTCTAGAGTTTAAATATGCTTTTGGAGTTATGAATTTATTATATTTATTTTACTCCTAAAATCATATATTAGGAGTAAAATTTATGAGGAAAATATAAAGGATAAAATCCTGTTTCTGGTTTTCTTTATATATGATAATAAAAAGCGTTCTTAGGGAATTAATTATAATCATTTATTGAGAAATCTTAGCACTTAAAGTCCGAGGCTTTTTCCAAATTCGGCTGCAACTCAGTGATTTTTAAGTGGGGCCCCGAGAACTTTCGCCACTTTTCACCAAGGGCTCTCAGCGAATAATTTATCGCTTACTTTGCGGCTGTTGTTTTTATTAATGAGTGCAGTATGGGAAAGCGAAATGCCGAGCATTTTTCGACGCTAGGTGCCTGCCTCCTTGCTGTTCTGTACTTTGTTCTGTTTGTCTATTTGTTTGTTTTGTTTTTCCAGCAGCCGCGCCATAAACTATTTTGCACTTTTCGCAATATTTCAGTCAGCTGCCGCACATGTGTCTGTGTGTGTATGTGTGGTGGCACTTTCCGAATTGTAGAGCGGAATATTTCATACACAGACGCACACAAACATGCAAAACACAGCCGAATATATTGTAAATAAAAGTGAACAAATATTGCACAGCAATAGAAATAAAATGTGTGACAAGGAGCGGCGGGGAAGTGTCCTGCGGAGCGAAAGAGCCGGCAAGATGCTCCGTTGCAGCAACTGCCCCAGGATACCCGGGCAGGAGCCCGGCCATTGTCCGCATTTAAATATTTGCACAGCATTTGAATGCTTTCCCATTTTGCATTTGTCGAAATGCAAACCCGGCCCGAGCGAAACACATGCACTGCTGCTCCAGTGATTTGTCCATTAAGCTGACAATAGTCGGGGCCAAAAGCAAAAATAACTAGAGAGTTCAAGCCCCGATGGAAAGACAATAAGCTGAACTTTATGTTAGAAGCATACTCTTCACCACTAAATCTGCTGAAGGACTGAGATAAGATCCAGGATATTCTCTTGGGTGTATTCTTAAGGCAGATCTTGGTCTCGTCTTGTTACTAAAATAACAATCTATGACTTACTTTACTTTTTATAATATTTTCCTACCATCATAAACTTTTAATTGACAAACAGGAAATTAATATAAGTATAATTTAATTTCATACAACCTTCTTTGTCATACCAAAGTTAAAATATTATATTGTTAAGTAGTTGTTGATTTAATTAAATATTCGACTCCGTCTCAGTGACAACTTTGTAAAAATTCCTTATATACCCCAACACCAAGCTTAAATTGAAGAAAAAGGAGCACTCGGTGCACATTGTGCGATCCCATGCTTAATTTAACTTACATCAACATTAATGCCGGCAACGGAGAAGACAAATGTGGGCTTGGCCTCGCGGGAACGTAGCGGTAGAATTCCTCCTGGCCAAAGTACCAGCGCACCGCGTAGAGCGCCGCCTGCGGAGGAAGAGGATAACAGGGATGCGTTAATGAAAAGCCCAAGTGGAGCAGACGATGATAGTGGGCGCCGGAGGAAACGGCAGCAGCAGCAACAGCAGCGACAATAAGCGACGGGAAACACGGCGAAGACGGCAAGACAAAGTGCAAGTAATTATAATAATTAAGCATGCCGCCGACGACAATATCCGTATTGTTGCCGGAGCTAAAGCTGCTCCTGCCGCTCCTCGAGGAAGTGTCGCTTACCTGTTCCAAATCATATTGACAAGACAATGTCGCTGCATTTCCCATGATGACGGCCTCCGGTACAAATATCTTCAGATCTTTCAGGCAATGAACTGAAAGAGCACGACGCACACAAACATTAATATTAAAGGATGTTCCGAATGTCGTTTAACCGTAGGACCTCCTCCACTGACGACGAGTCCCACATGTGGCAACAATACGAATTCGATTATGCCACGGCCAACCGAAAAAGGAATGGGAAAATGTACAAAAATAAGTAAAACACGAAAAATGCGAAAAATAAAACGCAATTACCCATCCCAATGACAAGGAAAAGGGATCCGATCCGCGTGGAACTGCCGGGATCCACTTGCATTTTAATTTATGACAAAGACGACAATCGAACGGCCCAAATTTGACTTGCAGTTAATGCAATTTATTTATTTTATTCCATTTAATTTCGGTTTCAATTCATTTATACATTTTGCCTTTCAGTTGTGGAATTCAACGCGAGTTACCAGCTATTATTAACATTAAACAAGGCCCATTGGAATCGAGTGGAAATTTAAATAAATGCATGTATAGTTGTGTCCATTTAATTATGGCATAAGTACAGAGTATTTAATGAAGAGGTTAAGGTGTAATATTTACAAAACGGTTATGATTAATTAACGAAAATGGAACTATTGTAATGGAAGTTTTTCTGAGAATACAGTTTCTATTGATTATATTTACCATATTACCTTATTTACAGGCAACAGTTTTCGCAAATTAATAATATCTTTTACCATTTCTTTCTGGTTATGAAAGTTCGTGAATGTTATTATATGCATCCCCTTAAAAATGGCATTAGTCACAAAAAGTCGCATTTAGATTTTATCAGAATGTTAATTTTCTCAGGACATGCTGTTTCTTTTTTGTATTTTTTGGTAATTAACACATATTAAGAGCTCTTAAACATTAATTATGTTTTTCCTAGAGCTCTTCTTTGTTCTACAAATGTGTCGTTATTAAGAAATGTTTTTTATTAATTGCAGAGTTTTCTCTTAATCGTCTGTACTTTGCCATTTGTTCGCGTGAGATTGCAGTGCATTTAATTTATTTTCCCGCTTTTATTTCCGAGCTTTTTATTGTTGCAACACGGGATAGGGAAATAAATGTACACCGCCACCGAGAGGTATGTACAAATGTTCGTACAAACATAAATATTAACATAATAAAAGCATGCTCGAATTTGCAGTGAAAAAAATAAATATAGCCATTAAAAATAAACATACTAAAACAAATTAATAAATACAATAATCTCGTTTAATAGTAAATCTTTAAGTCTGCCCCAAAAATTAAATATATTCTATAGGATCAAGTAGCTTTATTTATTTCCAAAGACTAATCCGAGATCTACCCTTTTTATTAATTCTCAATCCGGAGCTTTGACTCCATATTTAATGCGATTGATTGCACTTATATTCCTGTCTCATAAAAATCAAGAATAAATATGTACACTAGAAACTGAAGAGTAAGAGCGGTGAGTTCGTTAAATGAACTGCCCGTGGAGTGGTCGACATGTCATTCGAAAAGTTTTCATCGATTTGCGGGCTCGAACGGAAACGAGTGAACTGACTGGCATGTGGTTGGCCAAATTATGGCGACTTTAATTGAACAAACCGATATTAATCAAAGGCAAGCGCTGTTCGCACACATTCCCGGGGTATTTAATAAATTGACTACTTCACCGCCGTTCGGCGGACGAGTTGGTCGAAATGGTTCGGTTTTGGCCTGGTGGGTGGTGGGCTTAATATAAACAGTTATTTGGTAGATTAAATAATCAATTTAAACCACGACGGCACACGCAGTCGGCATAATAAATTCAGCTTGTTCGACATGACAGCCTCTGGCCGGGAGAATGGGAAACGGAAGCTAGCAATATGCCATTTATATATGGCTCTTTGGCACACTTACCACTGAGCAATAACTCCGAGATTATAATCCAGCTCAACGCCAGCATATTGAATGCTGTATGCAAGGCTCCCGGTCCGCAGGATCTGCGACCTCCACCTCCTCCTCCATCTCCTCGTCCTGGCCCGATCCTCTGGCTGGCCATGTCCTCCAGTCGCAATATCTGCCGAAGCTGCAAAGAGAGAGAGAGAAAGAGAGTTGTTGCATGGTGCATGAGAAAAAGTTTGAAGCAGCGTATAATCATATTTGAGATGATGCTCTCGCTCTTATTGATAACTGGCTGGCTACTTGTCAAAGTTTCAGAGCAGCAAATTGAAATGTTGCTCTTGCCTTTTTGTGGCACGGCCCCTCTTCAGTCTATTTATCCTCTGTGTGTGTGTGTGTGTGTGCTTTGTCTCAGGATCTGTCTATACATCCCGTGTCTCCCATGCCCGCCGTTTGACAACTTTGTAAGGCTTTCAATGACACGCGTCCGTAAGTTTCAACAGCTCGACGTGCTTAAAAACTTTGCAGCATTTGCAGCAGTACAAAAAGACAAAAACCTTTAACTAAACAGGACACAACAGGCTATGGCTTCGACTACGTATCCAGCTCCGACTCCTGCTCCGGCTCCTTCTCCGGCTCCGGCTCTCCTGTGTGCCAAACAGAATTAAGCATACGCAGCGTTCGCCCAGACAGATGCATCAGAAACGTCCGCACCCACTGATTGACAGCCGGGGGCTGTTGGGGACGACCACTGTGTCCCTGACATCTAAAATAGATTGGATGTCTGAGCCAGAGAGTGGGAGAGAGAGTCAGGTTTGCTGACCAAAACATTGAAAACAATTGTCAGCTGCTGGTTGCATTTGTAACTTGGCTGACAACGGGACAAGACGTCTGTTTCGTGTATCAATTAGACCACAAAATCAGCAAGACCAATTGTTTTGCTTCCATTTCGCCGCAAAAACAGAAGCTAATGGTCAAAAGTTACAAATGTCTCACAAGCGAACACACTGCAGATACAGATAGAGATATGGATACATCTACAGCAATAGATAGAGATACAGCTGGGAAGAGGGCATTTTGATAATGATATCATCATATCAACGCATTAACTCAAGGCGCCCTAAGCACTTAAGCCTGGCCGGGGCTTATATGTCATTTACTGCACCCAGCTGAACGTTCATCGTCGTCTTAAGGTCGAGTGCGCAGGATGGGTTTGGCTGCTTCTAATTTTGAATGGCAATCCCGCCCCTGGAATATACCCACACAAAACCAGAGCCGTAAAATGCCATTAGCCTGGACCGGGGTCCTCTGTGCTCTTCCAATCATTTTGTGCTTTTAAGCATGCGACTCAAAGTTATCGCCATCGTCGTCGTTGTCGTTGTCGTTGTCCCTCTGCAGCAAAAACAACAAACGCATTAACCCAGGACGAAGGACGAAGGACGTTACCGACAGAGCGAGAGCAAAGCGAACTAAAAGCTGCGAACTGTTGCCTTGGCATTTTGCATGCCCAACGACCTTTCTATTTCGAGCATATCGTTTTGCAAATTGTCCGGCAGATTGAGACACATCCTCATCGATTTGTTTGCTTGCGGGTTTTTGGGACCCCAAGACCGAGACCAAAACCGAAACCGAGGCCGACTCTGTTAAATGCCCTCATGTGAGCATTTAAATTAAATTTAAATATTATTGTAGGCAAGTCGATTATGTTCGGGTCATCATTTTGAACTTTAATGTTTCGTTCGGTGTTATTGTTTGAATGGAAGGAATATGGCCTAGAAGCCGGAGCTCGGGCACTCCCTGAGTAATAGCCTTTCTGTTTTGGGGCACCAAGGAAATTATTTTGCGGTTGCCCGGCAGGGGTGATATCCTGCCACATCGCCCCTTTCAATCCCTTTGTTCCTGGTCATTGTCTTTGTGCTTTCGCATTTGGAATTCACAAAATGTGTAGTCCGTACGAAATTTGATAAAAACAAATTTTCAAATATTTCATTATGATTTTAATTGAATTCCTCTGCTTAGTGATGTCATTCCTCCCCCGACCGCATTCGGGTGAATTGTGAAATAGATATCCTGCATGATATTCCTGTGTCCATGCCAGTCTCGGGGGTCGTTATAATAAACCGTATAAATTAACAAATTATTTGGACTCAGCTCTCGCCTTTGAGTGGCAGCAAACAACGAATCTCCTCCCAGTCAGGAAGAATGGTGTAATTAAAAAAGTTACAGCTTCAGCTTAATAAAATGTCCAGTGCATGTATATGTGCTGGATTAACTTTTTTAAAGTGCTATAAAACAGTTGATTATGGCGTCATTAACGCAAATCTAAGCTCAGGGGGGCGAGAGAAAATAATCAAATTAATTTTTTATGTACAAAGTTTGCAGTTTACCAATAAGAACCCAGCTCATCATAAGCAGCTAGCTTTGAAAAGAGCCCCGGCTTAATGGCAAAAACGAAGCGTTGGAGTGGCGATTCGACTTGGGGATGGTCAGGAGGGGGATTCGGATTCTTGGGGAGGCAACCGTTCGTGACGATAGCAACGCTGCCAAGGACAAAGGACAATGCCGGATATTCAAATTCCAGCGAGAAATTCAATTGAAAGTCAAATCAAAACAAAGCAAACGAAAATCCGTAATTGACAACATTTCAGCTGATAATGAGCACTTTTGCCAAGGGGAACCCACCGACAAACAGACAGTCACAAAGTGGGTTATACAGCATAGGGGCTAAGTACCCAAATCGGAATGAGGGGGAGGACACGTCAGCAAACCCATCTGTGTTGCCATCATGCTGACTGTGGGAAACCAGTGGCCAGGCCAATTGATATGATTTTCTGAAATGACATGAAATAGAACGTCGAATGCGAAAGAGTGGCATGTCTGTTAGGGCAGGTACACTTGTAGAAATAATTAATAGGTACAAAGGTTAACAAAACCAATATTTCTCGAATACTATCTTTATTTTTATACTTATGTAGGTTGCCTAACTATAAGTGAACTCAACTCGAATAAAGAAACAAAACAAACTCCCACTTTAGGCCACTTGTATCTTGTAGAGAGTTGTCACTTGTTTAAGCTCTCATATGAAGAACTTCATGCCAAGTTAAGACTCGTTCTTTTAAGTGTCCAAATAAGTATTGTTAAAGGAGTCGAGTCGAATCCTGTTGTGGGGGGATTGACCGGTATCTAATGCGGAAGCCATGACAGGACAACAATGCTGAGCCAGCAGGACCAGGTAAACTCTGCTAGATGTCAGCTAGCAACGATACCAGTGCTCTTCCTGATTCCAATCGCCGACACTTGAGCTGGCCACGTCGACAGTTTCACCTGAAGGAAGGGGCTTTGTTGCAACAACAGTTACTGGCAACTAGGCCTGGCTTTAAGGCCGGCCAAGTGCTCTTAAAGGATTCAGTCAACTGTAGCTGGGTAAGGACTCATTCATTTCGGTGATCCACTTTGCTAATCGCCGGCTGTCAGACGGAGTGGTAAGAGCCCACACAGACACACCTAAACAATAATCGCAAATCATGAGAAATCGCTGCTATCATACGCACACACTTATAACGCATTAAATGCGTCCTTGATTGATGCGACACTTGCTCGAGGGCTGCTCATTAGGTTTAGTGCGCTTCTTTCAGACTCCGGCTCAAGCCTCTAATCAATCAATCAGTGTTTATGCCACCACCCAGCCCGCAGCCCCATTCTGAGCCAAGGACCAAGGACCAAGGACAAACGTAGCGAAGCGAAAATAAAAGAACTGAAAGGAGCAGAGAGTACACATAATGAACAAAGGAACTTGGCGAAACAATTGCTTCGCTTGCTGCGTCGTTTGACGAATGCCCCCAAGGCGGATCTGAATCTGAATCCGAATCCAAATACGGAATACTATAATCGGTTCCGTGCCACTGGTTAGCCCCAATCTCCCACCTCCTTGTGGAGCTGCCGCCAGGCATCCGCCCAAGAGCTAGGCACCGAAAATTCCCCCATGTTTGCTTTGTGCGGCGTTGGCGTTTTTACAACTTCCGTTTCGGGGCAGAGAGAGTTCATCACAGGTTCCTGATTGCCAATGAAGGATTAATGCTCCTGCTACTGCCCTTGCTACTGTTCCTGCTCCTGCTCCTGCTGGTCTGAAGCACTCAGGCTGTGCTTTGATTGCAGCGGCGTGTGGCTGCAGGCGCACGACCCAACTAGGAGCGGAACCCAACCCAAGAACTGGAGCACGACCAGACAGCGGAAGCTTTGTGTAATGGCACAAAGGATTGCAAATTGCCAAGGCACTTCCTGCAAGGACATTGATTTCTTTTTTATGCCATCGCCATTGCCATCGCTGCTCAACTTCTGGCATCCTGGTAACCCACACCAATCACTTGCCACTTATGCATCCTCGCCGTCCGTCCCCGGGCACAAGGTGCTCTCGCCACGAAGGTGTCACGCTGGCTCCCCTTAATTATGCATGACTCACTAATGAATTTAGCCGTAATTGTTTGAAGGCACCTGTGATAGCCGCCAAAGACGTGGTCAGCAATACATATATTCACAGACCGTTTCGGGTCAATATTTAATCAAAACGCCGATTGCGGCTTGTCACTGTGACCTGGGCCACCTCAGAGGCTTAATTAGCCGCTACATCTCCCTTTGACAGCGTGTGCGATTATACCTTCAATTTCGATCCGGCCAACTGGAAGATGGCAATCAGAATTTGATTGGATCTTTGATGGTAAATGTGCAATTAAATATGTCAAGAGGGGAATAGGTGGTGCGTATTACCTGGATAGCGCTAGGATTTCATTCGAATCGAATGCAATAATCATACCTATTGGAAGATATAAAAGCTAACAAATCTTCTTTCACAAACTCTGTTAACTCTTCTCTGTTAAAAGCTATTGCCACTCAATTATGTTTCAGTTATAGAATGTTCAAGCCAGAAAAGTTCGGGGTGTATCCAATTTGTTCATGCCCATTCTCACACCGAAACTTTATCACTCAGTTATTATTGCAGGCAAAAAAGTAAAGGTTGAGATGAGTTGACAGTGTGGAAGCCAAATAGTTTGCGTGGGTGGGAAGTGAAATGAGAGGTAACCAAAGCTATTTTAAGTTGGCTGTAGTTGTAGCCCTGTAGCCCTGACAGCGGACCCGGGTAACATGGAAAATGCATTTGAAACTCGAACTGTGAACCTCGAAACCGATAAATCACACAGTGAAAAACCGGCATTAGTACATTCCGAACAAAAGAAACTTAAAGGATTCACGCTGGCTGTCCGGCGGCTGTCAGGAGTTGGCCAGAAGGCGGCGATGGCTAGGGCAATGCCAACGCCGAGAGCTCTGGCTCCCGTGATTCGAAGGACGGAGGACGGAGGACCAAGGACGTGGTCACAGGACGACCAGACGTCGCCGGGCGACTGAAACTGTGTGTTTGCATTTTGGCGCTGGCCGTCGCTATTTATGAAAATAGTTTCTGCAGCAAGTTCTAGCCCAGCCCTATCTGGGCTGTGTGTGTGTGTTGTGAAAGTTTCCTAACCACTGGCTGCCAAAAGTTGTGCAAATTGTGGCCGAACAATGGATGGCAGCTCTGTGATTTCTCGGTTTTAATTTCGATGCTTTTTGGATTGTTTCAAGGCGAGTGTTGGGGCTAATCAAGCCAGTTGCTACATCATCTTATGCGCCGTATTCGGTTCTCTCCCCGACTTTGCATATTTAAATGGACCCCGGGGCCATTC